ATCAACTATCTTCAGCAAAAAGGGATTAACAAACTCCGAATGTTGATGTCCTATCACATAACTTAGCAACAACAAATATGCCATCTTCAATCTATTCTCTGTCTCATCTTTAGGCAATTCTGAAAACATTGCCATAACTCGTGTCTTCGGAACTTTTTCGAAGCTTTCTTGACCAAAGTATTTTCTATATAAATTGGTCCCTCCAAGTGTTTACCAATTGTCAGGCAGTTTAGAACCCTTCAGCCCACAAAGTATTGTGTGCTCCCACAAAGAATATCTAATGGGTACTCCGTTAATGACGAACCACAGTTCATTTTCCCTCTTTGTCTTCACCGCACGATTGATGAGCGCAACCATTGGACTCATCTTCAAAGTCTGCTTCTTTTTCATATGAAACAGATGCCTAAATTGAGATTTTTCCGTGAAATGCTTCTTCTCTTCTTCGGTGAAATACTTTTCCAGAAAATCCACTGCTTCGATGTGAAAACATTTAGAAGATACTTTCACCGAAATTGTATTCATATCATCGAAATCTAATAAAATTCCGGTTTCGGTGGTATCTCGGCCTCGCTCTGCAATAAAATAAGTGTATTCAGTTGCATTAACAACTAGTTTACAAAATATCCAAGTACTACTATGCATAAACGACTTTAAACTAAACACTCTTATAACATTTAGTTGCATCTACAACTACTTCAAAGATACAACAACTGTCCAATTTTAAGGTCGAAATAAGACTGACATACACCAAATACTTCTGTAGTATTTAGTGGCACCTACAACTAATTCACATGCACAACTTCATAATTTTAAGGTGCAAATAAGACTAAATAATATACATTCATAAAGGATACTTCGTCATTTTTTAGTTCTACCTTAAATATTACATAATCTGAACTATTTTTACATAAATGACTGTATTCAACCATATTCTAACTGTTTAATCATTAACCAAAAGTTTTGAACTTATATAAAAAAACCAACTCTCTTTCCATTTTTCTATCCATTCGAAGAAAGTTCATAAAAAAATACTCACATCTGAATCCGGAGAAGAATCCTCGGTCCTTTTTCTATGCGAATCTGTTTTTTCGAACGACCCTGATGAATCACTTCCATGTGAGGCTTCGCCACTTGACGAAGATGAATCACTTCCATGTGACCCTTCTACACTCGATCTCGGTGGATTTCGCTCCATTTCGCCAGATTTCTGAAAATTTTCGTACTTCGCCCGCGCTCTCGGTGTTTCTCTGTTTGTTTTCAAAAGGACAGTAAAAAAACCCTAACTCTTTTTTCCCCTTTCTACTCTGGCAAATGGGCCCTGGCAAATCTGGTGGGCTTTCACCCAGTCGCACACGTGTTTTTTCTCACACGCTCATTTTTATTAAGGGCAACAAAGACTTTTCCAACTTTTATAAGGGCATCTTTGTCTTTTATTAATTCTTTATGTTTTTGGGGTGTATCTATGATACATGTGCGACGCATTAGGGGTAATGGTGAAGTTTGCCCCTTCCAATGGCTATGATTTGTTTGAAGGCTATGAGTATGAGAACAGTGAATGATATTGATCCATCATTCATGCAAGTGGTAGAAGAAACTGGGGGTGTCGTTTGTGAGTTCGAGAGCTTGGTCTTCTGTCAAATTCAAACATGATTATTTTATTCTTTTTCTCCAGCATAAAGCCAAGAGATTGTTTCTAACAACATTTCTTATAATGATCAGCTTTTAAATGTAATTGGTCCATTTGGTTTTCTTATTGTTTCCTTGGTTCTTGGTATTGTTGGTTGTTTATAACTTTTTCTAATATATCTGATCATTTTGTTATTGATTTGATCCAGTGATATGTCTGGTTTAAGAATATTGGATACTTTTGCATCGAGGGGAGAAAGTGCGAATGAAGGGTCATTATTACAAATTCAACCCTCAGAAACACAAGATCAAGTACTAGAAAATGACAACGTACTTCGCATGTATGGGATCACTTTTCAAAAGTCGGGAATATGATTGTTTGCAAACACTGTAAAAAGGATTATCCAGATAATGCTGAAAGAAATGGGGCGTCAACTCTCTGTCGGCATTTGGTTATATTCAAGGGAATGCCTAGTAAGTTTATTGAAATGTTAGAGATGCTTGTTCAAGACGGAATGATAATAGCAAAAAAAAATTGATGATATGATGGTTCGTAAGTTTTAGCTATGGCAATCATCGAGCACAATCTCCCTTTTTCCTTTGTGGAGTATAAGAGAGTTAGGCAATTGCTTAAGTACATGAATCCAGATTTTATTCAAATTTCTAGGAATACTATTGTTGCTGATGTCTTGAGATTGCATCAAGGTAAAAAAAAAAGAAGCTAAAAATGGAGATAGCTTCTGTTTCTAATAGGACTTGTTTGACGACTGATGGTTGGAGATCTATAGCTATCGAATGATATATATGTATCACTGGATATTATGTCGATAATAGCTGGAAACTAAACAGTAAGATGTTGTCGTTTAGTGCCATGCCCCTCCACATTTTGGGAATGAGTTGGCGAAGAAGGTTCTCGATTGTTTGAAAGATTGGAGGATAGAAAAAAAAAATCTTTTCTCTCACGTTTGGTAATGCCTCAACTAACGATACCATGCAAAGTATATTGAAGGATCAACTTTGCCTACAACATGGATTGTTATACGATGAAAAGTTTTTCCATATTCGATGTTGTGCACATATTTTAAATCTTATTGTGCAAGAAGGGCTAAAAGTGGTTGATTCTGCTCTATATAAAATTAGAGAAAGTGTGGAGTATGTCAACTGGTCAGAGGGAAGGATAAAAATGTTTAAGGAATGTTGTGAGCAAGTTGGCGTTGAAACTGAGACGGGTTTGCATTTGGATATCTCCACTGGATGGAATTCTACTTATACGATGCTTAAAGTTGTTATCAACTATGAGCGTGCTTTTAGTAGTTTGTAGTTGCTTGATAGAAACTACAAGTATAATCCATCAAGTTAAGAGTGACAACGAGGACAAAAGATATGTGATTTTTTGGAGTCATTCTATGAGATCACTAACTTATTTTCTGGGTCTAAATGTCCTATCTCCAATTTGTATTTCTTCCAAGTACGGAGAATAGAATGCTTGCTAAAAGTCTATATGACAAATGGAGAAGATGAAATGATTGAACCTATGACCAACAACATGAAGGAGAAGTTTGACAAGTATTGAGATGAGTATAGTATAACACTTGTGTTATCAACTGTTTTAGACCCTAGAATGATGTTGGAATTATTGGAATTTGCCTACAATGAAGTTGATCCAACTACTTCCAAGTAAAAGATAGATATTGTGAAAAAAAAACTTGGTGTTGCTCTTTGATCAATATAAAAACAAATCATTAACTCCAAGTTCTTCACGAGGAGCTACAAGTCCAACTCCAAGTTGGTGTCTTGCAAAAGGGAGAGGAAAAACCTTGGGTGCTCTAAATGTAAATTTATTTTTCTTATCTAGTTGTACTTTGCCTTTATAAGTTTGTATAATTTATCAAACTATAGTGTGATATAGGCTTTCAAAGCATATGAGAGAAACTGTTGCACAAGAGGAACGATCTGCTTTGAAAATATATTTGGACGACAAAAGGTTAGAAATGAATGAGTTTGATGACATTGACGTGCTACAATTTTGGGAAAACCATAAGCAGCGGTATGTTAACTTAGCACAGATGGTGTGCGATATACTTAGTATTCCAATATAACAGTGGCATCTGAATCATCTTTTAGCATTGGCTCTCGTTTGTTGAACAAATATAGAGTCGTCTTTGTTTTTCTAACGTCGAAGCGCTTATTTGTATGCGAAATTGGTTGATTGAATACAAGATCGATGTGAATGGTAAGACATACATTTTATTATGCTTTTTTTCAACATATTTATTGGCACTTTTTCCTGATTTTATGCATATAATTGGTGAAGAATGTGATGTTGAAGATGATGATCATATTGAAGTGGCTGATGATGATGATAATAATGGTGGAAACACCGAGAAGGATATTGAGAATGATGATGATTTAGAAACTATTTTAGATAGTTTTAGATTGGATTAAAAAACAATTATTTGTATTTGATTTAAATCAATTAGTGGACTGTTTTAGCTCTGTCGATTAGGTTTGGATATGTTCTTTTGATTGAATTTAATATTAGAGAATATTTTTTAGTCAATCCGGTATTTCTAGATATAAAACATTCTATTAGATTGTCTAAATAAGCCAAGTTGTTAAAATTTGATATTATTTGCATTTTGGAAACATTAAGTAAGAATAGAATTAATGTTGAATAACTATATATTTTGTCTTGTATATATATATATATATGTATATATGTATATAGTTTACGTATAAATGTATAATTTTTATATTTTTTATTTATATATTATTTTGGAATTTGAAAAAATAAAAAATGTTCAATGATGATTACTCTTAATGATGATGTTATTAATGTGAAAATAAAATGGGTTTTATGGGTTATAACGGGTTTCATGGGTTGATCCAGCCCATTTCACTTTTGTTATTGGGTTGGCCCAACCCAAACCAACAACTCAACCCAAATGGGTTAGACTTAATTGGGCTGGGCAACTCACACTGTCGGAACCTCGTGTCAATATTTAGGTTAAATATAATATGTTTCAAGAAATTCAAATTTATTTGCGAAGCAAACAGAATATGTAGTTTATTCGGTAAAAAATAGTATAAGTTTTTTTCCCCCAAAAATATTGAGAAGTTGACCAGGGATAGACTTATCTAGTTAATAATTGAATAACCGAATCGATACGAATCAAATATCACATAATTATAATCGAATTGAATTCGATGAAAAATCAAATGGTTATTATTTAAAAAAAAACTAAAAACTGAACTTGAATCAAATCGAATAAAAAATAACCGAAAAAATTATATATTTTTTTTAAAAATGAGTATTTTTGTATCGTAATCAAACGGAATTCGAACGAATCGGACCAAATTCAATACACAAATCGGACGGTTCTAGTTTTTCTAACATCGAAATAACCGAATCCAAATATACCCGAATTGAATCTGAATCGGAACTCGAATAAACCACCCTAGTTTTGCCATAAGATATCGGATTATGTATGGTGTTTAAGCTCGAGATCCCAAAGTAACATTGTGAAACAAGAACTCAATGTGGCATTCGTAAGAGCTATAACCATTGGTGCGTGTATGTGTATAGAATGCATGGACCTTGTTTGTGGGTGATTGATGCTAAACGAAGGGGACAACCATTAATACCATCCCATGTATGTGTCACTTTTAAAACTTTATAATTTTTTTATTCTCTTTTTTTTCCTTTTTTTTTCTGTTTTCTACCGAAAAATACTTTGATATTTAATGACGTGCACGTGCCGTTCTTTTCCATATTTTCGGTGTTATTATCTTAAATATTTGGTAAACAATGTTATGCATATAGGACAATGTTTTTCGGAACATATTAAATCAAATTAAAAACGACTAACATATAAAACTTTTTAAAATCAAATATATTCAAAATTTGATTGAGCATGATTTTTTTTTAAAAATTAAATTAATGGAATTTCAGTAAATTATAACACTAACTAAAAACTGAGAAAAATAATATTTTTTAGAAATTAAATATTTCTTAATAAAAATGAATCAAAATTCATTTTGAATAAAATCTGTAGTCGGTATAAACATGAAATGAATACATAGATTTTCTATAGAATAAATAAGGTTAATCTAAAATATAGAAAGAAACTAGAGATAAGGAAGAGACGAAGTGATAATATACATCTATGCAAACGTAAAAAATCGCCAAAAAGACGTGATACTTTGACTTTTTTTAATGTATTTCTTATTTTGTTTATAAAAATCTCGTGTTTCACTAATACATTATAACAAATTATTACGTCTTGGAATATACTAAACAATTTATTGGACTATGTATTTGATATAAAGAGGACGATGAACATTCTGATTTCTTTTATATTTCGACTTGTATTTTTTCTACAAAAATTATATCTATTTGTTTTTTTAACAGCTTTTTTTCTGTCCGAATTTTGTTTGGTTCCACGAGATACATTTTTTCATTAAAAATTATTATTATTTTAAATCTTTTTTTAATTTAGCTATAAAAAATAATATCATATAAGATTTTTTTTATATCAAATTCGTGTTAATTTTTTTCTTATTAACTGGGTATCGTGGACCGAGGTCAGACTAATCATGAAAGCCGAAGTAAATAATGTGATTAGAATATGGGTTATCCTATCCGATTTGAAGCCTGAACTCGAGACGGAAAATATGTTTTGTCTTTCCGATTGAGCTTTCTAAGTTGGGTTCGTCTTAATTTGGATAATGTTATACGTTGTTGCGTTTATTTTGTATATTCCAATTGAAATATCAAATCTCTACATAAAATACTGGGTGTTTTCACGGACCGACAACGACCCATGAGCGTCACATAATATAATATCACAACCCTAAATCCAAAATTACAAAATTAGGTTTTTTATTTGGCGTTTGAACACAAAGTTTCCAGGCTTGGAAAGTGTAAAAGAAAACAAAGAGTGCATATACCACCGTTCAATGGATGATCGTATGACCACAGATCAATTTGCTTTTAAATGATTCCATTCACTTTAAAATTCTCACAGCTTTTGTGGGTCTCTTCATAAGTCATCATGTAAAAAAAAGTCACCGGACAGTAAAAAAATGTGCTTTATCTAACATTTGATTTAAAAGCAGATTAAATCGATCCGAATCCATAGTGAATTCAATTTAGTATCCATTGTATATGATATTTTAAACTTTATTAAACGACGTGAATGGAAAATAATTAATAAACTAATAATTTTTTAAACAAAATTAATTGATATTAACAATTAAACTAATATTATTCAAATTTGTGTGATTTTGTATTACATTTTGGGTTCAAATTCAAGTGTGCGATATTCGCTCAAATTTTTCTATTGTTTTAGGAGATATAAACATAGTTTGCTTAAATATCTGATAAATTTTTGGATTATAAAAAAAAACAATTAAACTGATATTAACTGATATAAACCAATATTAAAATCGAAATAATTTTATAAAAATTAGCTATTAAATGGAGTAAAAAATAAACAACCAAAATATAACGGAAAATCAGGAATTTTTATTCGTAATTACAATCGGTTTAGTGCTCCTACATTGGAAAAATCAACCACAAAAAAAGAAAAAGAAAAATAAATGGGACCGTAAATGCGCCAGTCTCTGAAAAAGGGGTGGCCACTCGCTCGTTCATGAGTGTTTTTTTTTTTGGTGAGGCGTCTGTGAAAATGTCCGTATATGAGTAAAGTCGCCACACCGAAACCGAAAGGCAAAATTCAAGAAACTCACTTATGGTTTCGCATGTCATTTGTTGGACCGCCACCTCACAGAAAAAATGGAATATGTGTTATTTTTCACTAAAGTGTTATTACAATACCCTCGAATTAATCGTAAATATCACGCACTAAAAATCGTAAATAGAGCGATTATTTGAGAAGAATGGACGAAACATCTGCAAGTGTTTTTTTTTTAACCTTTTCCCTGTTTAACTTTTTGACTTCTTGCCTGAAAAGTTGTGTCTCTGACATTTATTTTGCTTTTTTGTTGCTTAGCCCAGAATCATGATTTAAGCTTCCATGTCCGTCACAAATCTAACAGTGACCCAAATTGTTATGGAAATTAGTATTCGACATTTTTTTCATATATATATATATATATATATATATAGTCCAAAACGACTTACATACAAAATAAACATAAAATAACCAAAAATCTAAATAAAACAAAATTATTTCATAAAAACCAAACGGGAAACAGAAGAAGAAAGTAAAAACTGATATATAAATTAAATAAATATATTTGTCACAAAATTATAAAATAATCAAATCAAAATCAAAATTTACTAAAAATCTTAATAAAAGACTCTTTCGTCAAAACAAACAAAAAAAATGTTTTGAAAAACTCTAAATGTTTGGTATAATAAATCACTGTACCATACATTATTGAAATTTATGGTTGACAACTAATATAATCGAAAATACCAAAGATAACAAAATGGTATAATAATATTATATAAACTTAGCAAACGTTGGGACCAAACCCGACAAACCCGTTGGCTCCGTCGAACGAAACCTGAATCCCTTCTTGTTGGATGTTTCCGACGATCGATAGCCCTGTCGGCGATGGTGCGAACGCGAAGCAGTACGTTCCTGCGTCGTCGACGGGGATCAGGAAATTCCTCGCGGGGAGGGTGAGGACAGGCCCTTCCGTGAAGTAAAACGACACCGTCGGGACTCGGACCGAGACGAAACCCGACAGGTCGTAGCACGTGTCGAAAATCGACACCCCCGAGGCACGTGGTAGATTCCCGGTCTGTGACGTGAACGCGCTGCGAAACGCGGAGTACGCGCTCGTGGGGAACCTCGTGACGGCGGTTCCAGTGTCCATCACCACGCCCCCGTCCCCGGTCTCCGTCAACTGGAAGACGTCTTCCGGCAATGGGACTCGGACCCCACCGACCCCAAGACCCGTCAGCCCGATGTAGTAGAAGCTCGGGGCCCGCGGGTTACGCAGGAGTGGGACCCACGCGGCTCCGACGGGTAACGCTTCGCGTCCGAAGACGAGCGACCCGGGCGAGTCCGTGCCACGACTCACCAGACAATAACTGAAAGCTCCGCCCGTTTGCCCGCTCAATTGACCCACGAACGACATCGAACCGCCTCCGAGACCGAGCAATCCGGCGGCCCCGACGAACATTCCGCGGTTGCGGTGGCCGCAGCCCATTGCGACGTTCCGCACGACCGTATGCCCAAACGTTAGCGTTTCGAGCGCCAATGTGCCTTTTGTGTACGACCCGTCTCCGTACATAACCTCGTACCTACAGCCACCGGAGTGGCAGGGCG